AGGAGGGGTGAGCACGTGGGGGTGCACGATGGTATCCACAGCAACTGTGTGGCATCTGGCTGGTCAGTGACTGGCTGTAGATGCCAGGTCTTCCACAGTGCCTGCAGTTAGCTGAAAAGATTTTGATTAGCTGGACAATAGAAGGGGGAATGAGGTCTTACAGATGGAATACTAGGATGGGAGGCAAGGACTAAGAAGTAGAAACTGCTAGAATCAAGAGATGTTAGTTGCAAGTAAGAGTGAGGGAGGGAACTTGGGCATTTGGGGGACCTAGAGACAGGAGAAAGTGTAAGTCTTTCAGTGGCTTCAGATGTGTCAGGCATGTCAGCAGCTGGAGAGTACAGAGTAAACAAGAGGATATAGACCCCGAGAACTGCCAAATAATGTTCTTCTGCTTCTCTGGTGTTGTCTTCTTTCTCCATCTCTTTCCCTATTTCTTTTAATCCCTTTTTGATTTAGTTCTTTTTGCTCAGATTCCATTTGGGAGGCAATATAATGGAATGACTGACAACTGATTGGTATACTAACCACTTAGAGCTATGAGACTTTGGCAGTTTACCGTTTGAGCCTTGATTTTTCTTATCTCTTAAATGGAGACAGTGAAAGTAGCTTTCTCACTGGGTTTGGAAGATTGGATAAAATAATGTTAAGTAAACTGGCCACAGCCAATGAAGGCATCCGTCTGGTTGCCTCTTTCTTGGTCTACCTGGTTCTTTTCCAGAGGTATTAGTTATCCATTGTTCTTTTGTTCTAGAACACTTTCTCTTAATCAGGTATAGTGTGGTATTTTTGTTGTTTTCATTGAAAACAGGGTTTATGTCCTCTTTTTGATGAACATAGTAGGTGAGTGCAATATCGCCCATTTCTGTCAATGTGGTAGATGACCGAGATGACAGTTCAGGTGTAGTGTGGTATTTTTGTTGTTTTCATTGAAAACAGGGTTTATGTCCTCTTTTTGATGAACATAGTGGGTGAGTGCAATATCGCCCATTTCTGTCAATGTGGTAGATGACCGAGATGACAGTTGGGGGCACTCTTCCTTCCTTTCCTCTCCAGTATCAACAGCTTCAAGACCTCAAGCCATTCCTTTAACTCCTTTGGGCTTCAGGGTTCTTCTCCATAAATGTAAAGGCCTAAATTAAGTGGACTATGAGACTCTAGTCCAACTCTAATTACATTTATCGGAAGATGCTAAAAGTCAGATCCCTCACTAAATTATGCATGCCATGAGGAAAAGGACCACCATGTCGATTTTGTTTATCAGCATATCCCTAGCACCTTCAGGAACCTGACCCATGGAAGATGCTCAACAAATGAATCAATGGATGAATGAATGAAAGAAATCTTTGCAATAAAGAAGGTGGCCCATATTTGCCAGAAATTGTTCATAGGACATCATTGGCTTTATGGGTCCATCTTCTGTAACTGAGCTTAATTAAACTCAAGTTTTCTATTGTAGAAAATGTCTATCAATTCAAATAGTCAAACAGCTTTTTTTTTTTTCTTAAACTTCTTCAGGAGTTCATGCTCCTCTTCTAATTGCAATTCGTTGCCATGGTTTATAGTCCTCAGTCTCTGTCATGGTTTAGTAAGTCACCTGTGAGAAGGTAAGCACTCTACTTTTGAAACCATAGTGTATGATTATACAACATCATAGCACCATGTGCCAGGTGCTGTGCTGTTTTCTTTATTTCTCAAGGCAGCATCATATATCTCATTTTACAAAGAGGGAACAGGTTAAAAGTTACGAGCATTCCTTGGGCTTCTACTTTCCTGCTTAACACACACGCATATGACTGTCAGGCTCTTTCATACATCCTCTGACCCAGCAACCTCTCTGTGGAGGCCAAGCCTCCTTCCTTACCCCTCACACGGCCCCTCCTGGCTTTCCTGTCCGTTACCTGTGAAACTTCCAAATTTCATTCCTGCCATATTCCACTCTCTTCTCCCTCCTTCGAATGGTTGACTCCCAAGGGGGAAAAAAAAATAATGACTAACATCATGTCTAGCCTTGAAAGGCAAATGTGGACCCTGCCTTCAAAGTTAACAATTAATTGGAAGTATAACCCCTGGATCTTAGTAGAGTTTGAAGGGAAAGACTGAAGGCAAAAGGAGAAGAGGACAGCAGAAGATGAGATGGTTGGATAGCATCACTGGCTCAACAGACATGAGTTTGAGCAAATCCAGGAGATAATGAAGGTCAGGGAAACCTGACGTGCTACAGTCCATGGGATCACAGAGAGTCAGATGCAACTTAGCGATTAAACAACCATACTACAGACTGGGGAGCTAATAGACAACAGAAATTTATTTCTCACTGTTCTGGAAGCTAGAAGAGGAAGAAGTTTGAGATCATGGTTTCGGCATGGCTGGGTGAGGGCTCCCTTTCATAGACTTGTGTCCTCAGATACCACTGCCCTTGTGATCTAATCTTCTCCCAAAGGCCCCGCTCCCTAATATCACATAGGACATTAGAATTTCACCGTATTAATTTGGGAGGTTAGAACAATCCAAACCACAGCACTCAGTTACTTCTTGAACTCCTCCTTTGGATAGAGAACATAAGATTCCAGGTATAGGACAGTTATGGTATGATAGGAGGTACCATATAATGTAGAGCCAAAATGGTGTGGTACACACTAGGAATGCCATGTAGATTTGAGGAAATTAAGACATCAGAATTGGGCTTCCCAGGTGGCACTAGTGGTAAAGAATCCACCTGCCAATGCAGGAGATGCAAGAAACATGGGTTTCTTCCCTGGGTTGGGAAGATCCTCTGGAGAAGAGAATGACAACCCACTCCAATACCCTTGCCTGGAGAATTCCATTGGCCGAGGCACCTTGTGGGCTATATAGTCCATGGATCCTCAGAGTCAGACACAACTGAGCACCCACAGATATATACCGTGAAAATGTCAAAAAGTTTCTGAAGCCTGAAATGAGAAAATTGAACAATGCCATTACTATTTACTCTCCAAACTTAGAAGTGATTGTAAATGATTTTCTTTAAATAAAATCAGAAAAGTACTTTCTAGTACATGTAACTGCTGCTTACATTGGGGCATCATCACCAGTCCTCATTATCTTGCCAAAACTTTTATGACAGAAAACTGGTAAGAGGAGAAGCAATGACCCGGGAGCAGTGCTGAGAACCAGGAACATCCCCTGCACACCCGACTCTCCCTTCTCGTTTACCAACAACATTCTAACAAGAACAAGTTTAGCCATTTTCTGTGTCTGAATGTCTGAAAACATTTGATAGCAATTGAGGGTTGGCTGCCATGATGTCACCATCAAAAAAAATCACGAGAGAGACTCTAATGACTTCTAAATATAATCTGCCAGTTCCGAACTTATTTTGTGTGTTCGGGAAAAGCAGTTGGCGTTTTGTAGGAAAGGAATTATGAAAACCTGCCCTTGCCAGTCAGTCACTGGAGGACTTTGCTTTATAAACTTGTCATCTGTGATCAAGTCTTCAGTCTCATTTGTTAACTTCTGAGTCCAGAATTCAGGGTTGGAGGAAGCACCTGAGAGACCAGTTGGCAGGAAGATTGTTCAGTCATAGAAAAGAATTGTCATTTCACTAATTATGCCTAATATAAATCACTAAGAAAACCAAACTTCTGGAAGATGGCTCAGGAGTAAACATTGAGTGCAACAGAAAAATTCGGTGGGTCACCAGAGCACTAAGCACTGTTAGCCATTTAATGAGAACTTTGATCCAGTGGATAACAGCTAGTAGGGAAGCTTAACTCGTTCCTTTCCCTCTCCCTCCCAGACACCCGGCAGAAAGTAGCATTTCTTGCCCATAGCCAGAAAACAATCCTTACAGTACAGTGTCTTCTAAGAGTTTGCCCTTCTACTTTGGGTAAAGCACCCTCTTTAAAATGAGTTAGCCCCGAGATACATTTGAAAAACTCTTAACTCCTCTGCCGTCTCAGCATCACATATGGAATGTTCGATCGACTTCCAAACAAAGCAGCAGCTCTGTATACTGTCAATTTAGGAAGAGTAATTGGCACCATCTGTGAAAGAATTGGTTATGAGCGCCTGCCCTTCCTGGTAGGGCACTGGAAAGGCATGAAGCAGACACGAGCATGGAGGTTTTCCAGGCCTCCCGTATGCAGCTAGCCTCTCCTCATTTGTGGTTTGGGGTCCATCGTTGTATTCCTTTGCTTTTGAAAATTTGAGATCGACATGTACACACTGCTGTGCTTAAAGTGGATAACCAACAAGGACCTACTGTGTAGCACAGGGAAGTCTGCTCAATGTTGTGTGGCAGTCTGGTTGGGAGGGAAGTTTGGGGGGAGAATGGATGCATGTATATGTATGGCTGAGTCCCTTTGCTGGGCACTTGAAATGATCACAACATTGTGAATCTGCTGTACTCCAATATAATGTTTAAAAGTTTTTGAAGTGCCCCTAAAGATTGGGTATTTCTTACTCAGAACTAATATTTAGAGTTGCTTGAGGAAGGACTTTAAAATCATATTTTTAAGTCATATTTAATTTGTATATACACCTCTATTTTTTTTTTTTCCGCCATGGCAATTTTAAGCCTTAGATAAGCTAACATGTAATGTCTACCAATATATTTTTGGCTGTTTTGTCCTCAGAAACAGAGTTGTTCTTGTCTGCAATCCTTGGTATTCTTATCGCACCTGTGTTTTTCTTAAAGCACCATCACCTACAGGATCTTTAAGGGCTTCAGAGCCTCCAGGCAGTGGACCCAACACAGAAAAAGTTTGGGTGGTGGGGGGGGTTAAAAAAAAAAAAGCCTTGGCTAATTTAAAGTGTCAGATGATGATTTCTGACTTTAAAGAACTTTTCGTTGGTTTTAGATGGAAGGCTCTGTGTTAAGTGTTTGGCTTCCTCTGGCATGTGACTGGACATGAGTTCCAAGAACAATCAGCTAAAATAGGGTTTGCAGAAGGAAGCATTGTGCTCCTTGTTAATCACTGTCCTCTCTGTCCCTCCCCTCATCCCTCTTCTGATTTCAGTGGTGCTTCATGCCCCACCTCCAACCAAGATCAAACGGGAGCTGCACAGCCCCTCCTCTGAGCTGTCGTCCTGTAGCCACGAGCAGGCTCTTGGTGCTAATTATGGAGAAAAGTGCCTCTACAACTATTGGTAAGTGGAGCCAGAGAAAGGCTGGCCAGGAAGTGGCCGGCACGTTGATTGTTTCCAATATTATTCAGCAGACGCTCAGCATAGCGCACCCGTCTCTGGTGGCAGTATAATGATCCTCTAGCTGTAGTCAGTCCAAATGGGCTTTGTCTGCATGTAACGTGCAGAACTGTTAAATCAGCCCTGCAGGGGACTGATTTCATGGGGCCCTGAGCCCTCCCAAGGGAAAGAACCCTGAATGCTGGGCTATTTGATCTGTGGCTTCAAGGGAGGGACTATATGCTCCTTCGTGTCTATCATATGTTAATGTGAACTTTAAGCACCAAAGAAGTAATCTTCACATCAGAATATATGAAGAAAATCCCCATGCCAGTGCCCTTTACTTAAGAATATCCAAGCCCCAGGAATGAAGCTTTAATTTTAAATCATTCTTTGCTCTAGAAGATAAACATAGATCTGCCTGAAAAGGGGAGGAGAAGCTTTGTGAAGTGATGTTACAGGAGAAATTTGTCTTCCAAAGGTTCTAGTTCCTGGGAACCCTGGAATTCTTGGGAGAGGGCGCCAGAAAACTCCCCCAGGACCTCATTTCTCCCCTCATCCATCCACCCCTGCACGCGCATACATGGAGAATTCTTTTAGAAAAGGGGAAAAAGGAAACCGGAAGCTGAGGCTAAAATTATCTTTGAGAAGAATCACTAGAAGTGTTAAACAAGTCCCTGTGACGCAGTGTGTTTGTCACTTTTCAGAGGTACAAATATTCCCTCGGGGCTGCCAGCAATTTAACTATGTTAATGCTGTCATTTCCTGGCAACCGTGGGCTGCAACCTCGAGTTCTGCTGGACCTGGTGACCACGCTAATGGCTTCATTGCGGCTAAATGGTTCCTTCTCTTTTTCTGTTTACAGTGCCTATGATAGGAAGCCTCCCTCTGGGTTCAAGCCATTAACCCCTCCAACCACCCCCCTGTCTCCCACCCATCAGAATTCCCTATTTCCCCCACCTCAGGCAACTCTGCCCACCTCGGCGGCACATGGCCCTGCAGCTGGCCCAGTCCCAGGTGTGGGCCCCGCCCCCACTCCTCATTCGCTTCCGGAACCTGGACCACAGCAGCAAACCTTTGCGGTCCCCCGGCCGCCACATCAGCCCTTGCAGATGCCAAAGATGATGCCTGAAAACCAGTATCCATCAGAACAGAGGTGGGTGCTGATCTGGGCTTCCTTTACCACCTCCTCCCACCCCTCTATCTCCCAGGGAGAGGGGAAGTAGTAGTCATATTTACCAGGTACCTATAAAGTTCTCACTCCACTGAGGCATCTTGTGAGGTAGGACTACTAATAATATGAATATGACCTGTTTATATTATCACCCTGGGGCTTCCCTGGTGGCTCAGTGGTAAAGAATCCCCCTGCAATGCAGGAGACTAGATTCAATCCCTGGGTTAGGAAGATCCCCCGGAGGAGGGCATGGCAACTCACTCCAGTCTTCTTGCCTGGAGAAGTCCATGGACAGAGGAGCCTAGTGGGGTTGCAGAGATTCAGACATAACTGAGCAACTAAATAACATATCACCCTTCTCCTAAGGTACTGCAGAGGGGACATAGGCCTTGCAACACCCTTATGAAGTAGGTAAAGGAGAGGTAGCTCGTACTCTCCCCCCATTGTAGAAGCAGAGGAAGGACGGACCTGCTCAGGTCTGTTGACCCTGGCTGAGGGCAGCTTCCCTGGCTCCTCATTGGATACTGCCTGCTAGAATGACACCTTGGTTTATGCTACCCATAAATACTTTATTACCATTTTACTTACGTATTAGGGAAGATTGCTGAGTTATCAGAGGTGTTATTACTCATTTGATTATAATACATTTTCACAGTAGGGGATTACCTGAGGACTGTATTTTTAATTTTCTACTTTTGAGATAGAGATCTTGATTTCGCTCCAGGTATTTCTGCATGCTTAATAAGGAAATAGAGGCATCAGAATAACTTGTCCAAAGTCATTCATTCTCAGAAAAACTTCAGATGTAAAAGGAATCTACTCTGCAAGTACCAAACTTAACCTGTTAGGACCCAGCCTTTGAAGTTCATTATCTGTGGTATTCTAGAACTTTGCATGCTTGTGGCCTTCCCATAATACAGGATATTCTGGGGGCCTTTTTTATTTCAGTCCCTCTGGAATGAAGTGATAACGTAGTTACCTGTGGTTACCAATGGCTGCAAGGTGGCGACTGTTGTTTGTCCTTTCTGCCTTTCTTGCTCTGCTTGGGGGAGGGAGGCAAGAGAGAAAGAATATATAAGTTATCTTCCTCTGGCCTGGTCCAACCCAGATACTTGCTGGTATCTAATTGGAGGTCACTATTTCTAGATGAATGAAATGCGGAAAAAAGCAAGAACTCCTTTCTGGTTCCAGTTCCCTTCCCCCTTTGCGGTGAAAGTCACCGTAAAGAACCACATCATTTGTCTGGTTAGTGTTTATCCCCGTGCTGATCCAGGGGCCACAAATGGTTTACGGGGCCTGAGGGGAGAGAGTGTTGACTGGGGGCTGGCTCAGTGGTGGGCCTCAGTTTCCACAGGGAGCCGCTTCATCTGAAGGAGGCAGGTACCTCAAAGTTTTTGCTAGTCACTAGCTTGTATCAACAGTTGTACTTCTTTAAGAGAATATGGAAATTTGGAATTTTAGTGTAGAAATCCCAGGGTTTTTGTTTTTGTTTTTAAAGCTGGCAACTAATTCAGATTTAAAACAGCAGTAATACTTTGCAGACTAAACAAAATCTCTGTGGGCAGAATAATCCCCCAAGGCCTGCCAGTTTGTGAACTCAAGCCTGGATACCATTTTTATTTCAATAATTTTGGTTTTGTGTTTTTAAACTGTTTTTTCTGATTTTATGCAGAGATTATTAATTGAAGAGGCAGGTTGGGGTGGGGTATATATTTTGTATTTGAAATAATTAGCCAACTTTATCTTGTTATACCATATGTAAAGGAAAATCACTTTGTGTTAAATCTCTTATTCATATTTTCCCTTAATCTGTTTCATGTCCAGGGAGCCTGTGTAAACAGGTTGTGTCAATGGCTCACTGAACTGGGGGAGAATCTCCTATTACTAATTTTGCTGGTAGTTATTCATCTTCCTACAGCCCTGGAAGATAGGATGCCTTAGTCTCAGTGATGGAGTAGGTTTGTCTCCAGGCTACCCCACCTCCTCCGAAAAGGAGGACATTTGAACCCTGTTACTTGAGTGTCTGTCCTCAGGTATCCAAAGGCAGGAGCCAGAAAGTAGATATTTCTTTTAGGGGGCAATTCCTCCCTGAAATCTGCCTTCCATCTTGCACTCACCTCCCCTTACCCTCCACCTTTAGGAGTGGTGGGTCTGAAATCAAGACCTCACCCACATATGGAGTGATACTGAGATCCTTGAGAGAACTGAGGTGAAGGGCAGGTGCCTGGATAGATAAAACACAAACAAACACGGACTGTTGGGCTTCTATACCAGAGCACTGTAGTATCAAATCTGAAGGTGTACTAGAGGAGTCCTCAGCGGGGGATTATTAGTAGTGTAGACTTCTTGCTCTACTCCAAAGATGGAGTTGTGGGTCTGGGGCAGGATTTGGAAATATTACTGTCGTACTTTGAGAAATCATGGTGCACCCCTGTCTTCTACCCCCACACCTATTCAGCTTTTTTTTTCTTTCCAAGAATCAAGTGCCCCGTACTCAATTTTGTTCTTATTGTGCTTGTCTGTTATTAATGAGATAATGATATCTTTGTGATGCAAAATACACCAGAAACATGACAAGTGATTTTGCTTGTAGATATAGGATTGCACACAGAAAATGAGACAAAATAAAATCTCTAGTCTGATTCTGGCTCATACTGTAAAGAATCTGCCTGCAGTGTGGGAGACCCAGGTTGAGTCCCTGGGTTGGGAGGATCCCCTGGAGGAGGGCATGGCTACCTACTCCAGTATTCTGACCTAGGGAATTCCGTGGACAGAGGAGCCGGGCAGTCTGTAGTCTGTGGGGTCACAAAGAGTCAGGCACAACTGAGCCACTAACAACACAATAGAAATTGCAGGCAGGTATGATAAGCTTAGTAACTACATATTTAATAACTTATGCTTGCTTGAAAGTGGAGTAGATTAGTTAGTAACTGGAGTTTTTCTTGTGCTTTTAAGTTAGAGGGAATGTTACTTCAAAATTAGCCCCATAAGAAAAATGTGGTATTTTGCAGGATAGAAGGAAATTAGTCTTATCTGAGATTTTCTAAATAGCTCTGCAACAAAGGCAAGATTTAAATAAAAACAAAAAACAAAAACAAACCAACCCTATCTTACAGATTAAAAAAAAAAAAAAATCAGCCCTCAGAGTATCTAAAGGACTTCCTAAAAGTCACATAGCCAAATACCAGGTCCTACCTTTAGAAACCAAAAACATAAGTACCCCACTTTGGTTATGCTTAGAGGAGAGGGGTTGCTAACAATGTACTAAAAGCTAAGTAAGGGACCTTGAAAAATCCATTTCGACCTTGAATTTTATCTGTTTCTTTAAACTAGCAGGACTTTCTCTTAAAACTACAAAATCCTACTTAATTCCTACATCATTTATCTAAACCCATGTTGTCACACCTTTATTTTTTGTTTTGCTGAGTGCCTCATTCCTTCAGTTGAGTAGAACAAGCTCTTTCGAGATTTAAAAACGATGATGTATACCCCTTTCTTTAGACCATATTTCGCTCAATATCTTGTCTTCAAGATATCTTGTTTATTGACAGTGACTGTTAGCTAAGACTATATAATCTAGTCAGTTATATTCTTAATGTTTTATATAACCAGTATATAATTCTTTATGACTCAAAATTCGTTTTAGGAGATAAATACTCTATTTGAAAGCCACGATTTATATTCGTGATTTCATCCCCCCAAAGAGGAAAAAAGTGCCATGTAATTTGGCATGTTCAGACATGTTTCATTTATCCTTAAAGACCAGCTGCTCCTTGAAAAGGAGGACTGCTTCTCATTCAACCTTCCTACTCTCACAGGAGTTTATTATGCTATTTATAATGTGTACAAAAATCTTCCTATGTTATGCCCATACTACTGGCCAGATATGGAATAAAGAAAAACTGTCATCCCATCTCAAGTTGAGTCCCCACAGTTCAACTGAAGAGACTCCACTAAGAAATGCAGCATCTAGGAATTTTGGGAAAAATTGAAGGCAAGAGGAGAAGGGGGAAAACAGAGGATGAGATGGTTGGATAGCATCACCGACTCAATGGACATGGGTTTGAGCAAACTTCGGGAGATAGTGAAGAACAGGGAAGCCTGGTGTACTGCAGTCCATGGAATCGCAAAAAGTTAGACACGACTTAGTGACTCAACAGGAATTTTGAAATCCACTGCACGCTCATGTGACAGCAAGAAGCAAAAAATCAAGAAGCAAAATTTAAGAAGATACCCCTGATGGGGAAATCGTCTGCTTCAGGCTTCCATGGTGGCTCAACGGTAAAGAATTCACCTGCCAGTGCAGGGGACATGGATTCGATCCCTGGTCCTGGGGAGGTCCCACATGCCTCGGAGCAGCTCAGCCCCGTGCACCACAACTACCGAAGCCCACGTGCCTAGGGGCCTGTGCTCTGCAACGAGGAAGACCACTGAAATGAGAAGCCCATGCCCTGCAAGAGTGTGGCCCCTGCTCACTTACAGCTGTAGAAGGTTCTCACACAACAGTAATTTTTTTAAAAACTCCCTTTTAAAAAATCCTCTACTTCTTGATGCTCCCTAAGGGCATCAGTTATTGCAATAGCCTACCACAGTGAAATGGATAGTTAGAACCCAGTCCCCAGAGTCATCAAGAAAGGGTCTGTTTTATGAATTTGAGAAGGTTCTCTCTGTGGTTGTGATCAAAACTTTAGAGCTTAGAGGATGAGCTTACATTTAATAGAAAACTACTTGTTCTCTAAAGATGCTAAAGAGACATAATATATGCAGGTTTTTCTCTTCTGCTTCCTTTCAAGTCTACGCCTAATTGTTCATTTTTGTCCTTCACATTTTATAGTTTTTAGACAGGAAAGAACTAGGTGGTGAGTCACACTTGTAGCCTGTCAGACACATGCCTTTCCATGCACTCCTATTAACAGTGTTTTATGTGCGGCAGCACAAATTCACTTTACTATCCGAAACTGAGTTTCATAGATGCTTAAAGG